ATGGGGGCCAGTAGATTCCACAGGTTCCTGTGGAGACAGGAGGATCTTAAATGGTGTTCTGAAGGGTTGGCCATGTTTTTGAAGGCTTGTAGAATTGAAGCTTTCATTCTAGACCCCTTTCATTGGTGAAGTTTCCAATATAGTTTGGGGCATGCGTGAACAGAGGTCGGGGCTTTCTGTTGATAGTATTTCTTGAAGTAATCGGGGCCGGGGTCTAAAGGGGTGTTGTCATATGTTCCGTCGGGTCTATACCTGTATTTGGTTTCTCTGGGATTGGGGGGTTGTTCAACTCGACTTGTTGGAGTGCTTGAACCATTTGGTCGAAGATGTCTTCGTCCATCTCTTGCTTTTTTCCATCTATATACATATAGCAGGTCATCTTATATTAATTTACTGGATAAGGTTGTATTCTTTTAAGTGTTTTTTCTCACGCTAAAGAAAAATATGTTATTATATATTTTTTTCCCGACGAGACGAACGGTGCACAGGGGTCTTCCACAATGTAAACGGTGAAGACGATGTCTTCTCAACCTCAGGCCGGTTGAGCAAGTGTGCATCGAGTGAAGGGGGCTCTCAGGGAACTGGTGGTGAACGGAGGGAGAAGGAAAACAAAGCGCTTGAAAGTCTGACTGTGCAAATCCCTCGGACGACTGCGCTGTCTTTTTCAAAAGGGCGCTCCTTGATGTTGATGATGGTGAAACTTCAGCCGGTGAAGGTGCGACGGCGCTTTGATGATGGAGAACCGCTTGGACTCCGTGGCCTGCAACTTGAGCTCGGGCTCTTAGTCTTCGGCTTTGCCAACAGCACCTTTGGATATGGACTTCGTGAAGGCATTGGACGTGGGTATCCATCAGCCTCATTCCTCAATGTGCAGGATGTGATTGGCGTTGGGTCACTCAATGCACGATCGATGACCTGAGCGTCGTAGTCATCATGTGCATCTTCATAGTCATGGCCTTCATCGGCCTCGTGGCCTTCATCGCCTTCATTGCCTTCATTGGCTTCTTCACCGCCTCCATCGGCCTGTCCTTCACCTGCGAAGATTTCACGAACTCTTTGCTGTGCCCTCTCACTCTGGCTCAGGTTCTCGTGAAAGACCCTCAGCGTGTCCACCACTAGTAGGTTCCACAGGTACCTGTGGAGACAGGAGGGTCTCTTGAATGGTGTCCTGAAGGCTTGGCCGTGTTTGTTGAATGCTTGTAGAGTTGAAGCTTTCCTTCTAGACCCCTTTCATTGGTGAAGATTCTACTATTGTTTGGGGCACGATTGAACAGAGGTGGGGTTTGGCATCAGTAGAAAAGGGGTTTTGACTGGTGTTCGGCCATGTATTCAAAGCTTAGAGGATTGCTGATTTCATTCTAGACATGGACCGCCTCCCATACTCCTTAAGCTATTGAAGGGAGAGAGATGGGCTTAACTGCAGAGTTCTGAAATGGTGTTCTTGGGGTAGGCCTGTATTTGTTCCACAGGGCCGCTTTCCATTTCAGACCTTGTCGTGCTTCTCAGGCTTGTGACGCAAACAGCATGTTCTTGGTGATGCCCATGGAGCTGATCGGGTTGCGGCGGGCGGCTGGATGGTGATGATGGTGCCAAAAAGACTGGCTTGGATGGGTTGCAGCTAGTTTTCTCAGAGGCCAGCCTATTTTTTCATCATGTTTCTTTCTCGGGTGGATCATCGTCATTCTTCTTCATACACAAAGGTGCCACTGACACAGAGGCGCCGCTTCGATCTGTGGCCAATTTGTTAGCCTTCTGAAATCTGCAAGCAAGCAAGCAAGCACAAGAATTTGAATGCACTTCCTGCAGAAAAGTTGAAAAGGTCTAAAACACTCAACGATTTCGGGTCTACAATGCCGGAAGGCACCTGCTAGACCCTGCGGCCCTGCAGGCCCACCCATCCTAGACCTTTAGTGGTTGGGTGTATAACTGCCTGCCGGGCTCATTTGATCGAAGGAGTGAACAGCAAGCTTTGGAGTTGCCCCAGCTCGGCTTAGACTTCCTTAGTTTGGGCCCACGTGACGCTGACTAAACTTTCAATGAGGACTGGGCAGTTCCACCCTGACCCCTTCAGTTTGCCAGGAAAGAAATCTTTCTTCCAAAAAGAACTAGATCTTGCAAAGTATACATGCTCGAGAGAGAGGTTTGTTGCCTTCCTACGAGCAACTAAAGAATCCGACTTTTGAGCCACCCATATATCTCCGGGGCCCGTGCGCGAGGTGTGTCGTCACTAGAACCCAGATTTTCCCAGCCGCTGGCCCAAGGTCCTTGGCGGGGCTTTCAGAGGTGGAAGGGGCTTATCCGCAGCAAAAGTCCCTGAACAAACAGGATGGGATGCCAAGTTCAGGATGGGATGCCAAGTTCAAACTCAATATGACTCAATCATGTGATTCACAGGCCAAAGGTTGCCATTTGTAGAGAAAACTACTGGTCATAACGAATTTGTACACCAAACTACCAAACTGTTGGATGTGTGCACATTGAAGGAACATGATTGCTTTATCCAAAATTCAATTATTTTCGTTCACTTTACCTGGGCCCCGTTTTGGTTGGCTGACATGAATGGGAAACACAACGCTCAAAGTCTACAGCAAGTGATCCCTGACCCCGTCACTTTCCATGGTTCTAGCCCTTTACACAATGTGGTCCTTGACCTTCACCTGATCACATATATATACTACCCCATCGTGTAGAATAGGTTTCAATGGGGAAGACAATATCAATCGTTTAAGAACCCTAGCAAGGCATATATGAGTCATGAGGTTTAGGCTAACGGTTTAGGGCTTCCCGAGTGGCGGTCAGCCGTAGCTGATCTGCATCAGCGACTTCCTCATCGCTTCCTCGCGAACAGTTTTTCACAAGTCGAACGGAAAAGTCAAAGTCGAGCATATCTTGATGTTAGAAGAGCCACACTGGCTCAAACCGGCCGGCCGTTTGAGTCCCAGCCCAGTGCGCTGGAGGCGGCAATAGTCGTCACCTGCTGAACCTCTTGCGCCACGTGCTTTGCTATAGAGGGAAAAGGCAAGTCAGCGATGGGAGAAGTGCCTGATGGAGCTATAGGGGCAATCTTGTCAGAATGGAAAGAACATGAAAATCTAGTTCGCAGGGCCGCTGGTGGGATCATTTTGGTGGCAGGCAAAGAGGTCAACTGTGCAAAGGTTTGTCAGAACCTTGATGGTCCTCAAACCGATTGTGAAACACTTGGGCCCTTTGGTTGCAACCTTAAACACCGGCATGAAATGCACAACCCCATTTTTGGTGTTGATCGCGTATAGGTTGAAACCCAGGTTTGCACCCCATCTCTGGTAAGCAAGCGACTGCTTTCTTCACCATTGCAGACCTCAGGGAAAAATCCGTCATGCTCGGGCCTTATGAAGTTTATGCTAACGAAAAGGCTGCCGACCAGAACCAGAATCCAACATAATCCAACTTCGTGTGCATATGTTTTGTTGTCACTGGGATCTGAAGATGCCCATGTGAAAGCCAAAGCTAGGTTCCTACGTAAGCTGGTGTACCTTTTTGCCCGGGCAGCTCGGTGGGGGCATCGCCCACGTGAACCCGAGTTTCGAGAACTCATGCGGGCTGCTGACTTGGTGGTACGCGAGATGTCGGCGTCTAGCTCGTGTGACTCTTTGGGAAGTGGAGGCTATAATAAGAAACCTCATGACATACATTGTATGCGTGCTCTTAGCATCCCAAACGGTTTCACATCGCTCTCCCTGGCTAATCCTTTGGTTGGCAATGGTGGGCCGCTTGGAGATGGTTGCGTGGATGATGGGGGTGAAGAAGAACTAGTCAGATCCCGTCATGGACCTGGGGTTGCAAATTGCTTTGGGTCCCCCCCAACCCCACGTAAAGAGGTGCCATGCATCGAAGGAATAGATTGGTTCAAGCGGCAAGCAAAACAAAAAAGGTCTTGGAGGGCCAGCGCCCGAACCAGAAATGGTTGAGAAGGTTGAGAACCCTTCACCACCATCCTGCACAAGTCCACTAGTGGCCTGCGATCCTGCTCCAGTTGAGGATGTTGAGGGCAACCCTCCACCAACGACCGTGGCCCGGCTGTATTTCTCAGGAACAAGGGGGAGCAAGGACGCTACTAGTAGCTCCTGGCCTTACTGCTAGGAACAAGAAGCTACTAGTCTCTCTTCAACCTCCAAGATAGGAGGTCTCAATTGATGACCTGTCGGGTCCGGATACCCCGGAGTTCGGCCGAAATCATCCACAAAATTCACCGATCCAACCGATCGCCGCTGGGGGCGTGGAAGTGAGCAGTGAGTGGGGCACCGAACTCGTGTACAAGGCCTGCTGTCCGCTCCGCCTCGAATTTCTCACAGGCGTAGGCGTGAAGTTTTTTGCACATGTGTCTTTTGTCTGCTTCACTCTGTTCAGCTCTTTGTACTTCTCAAACCCTTTTTTTTCACCTGCACATTTTCCATTCGTGTGTGTCGGTTCTGCACTCAGGCTCCAGGGCCTGCAAAAAGAAACCACGTCCATTCTCGAGCCCTTTGTCTGGCTGATGTCATTTCCACGCTATTTCGCGGTTTTGGTTGTCTGTCCGAGGCCCGAGCAGGAGCGAGCCATTTGCGTCAGGCGGTTCCGGCGTGTCGCTTTTCACCCTTTGCAACTCACAAGAGCCGAAACACTACGGAACCAAAACCCGGGGGCGGGCCACCATAGTATTGTAGTATAATCACATTATGATATATATATATATATATTATAATCACTTATAGTGATCACTTGCTACTGATCCAATTTTGTGAATCGACGCCACCGGTCTCCCGTCGACACGAGCGGAGCGGGACACGAGGCGGTTCGGTCGTTGGCCTCCGTGTCTTCGTAATGGACCGGCCTCTTCATATTTGGAGGATTTATGAATCAAGAGTCATGAAATCCACAAAAGGATTGGGTGACTTTGTGGGCATGTTCCGGTTCTGTGTGATGTACGTTGTGTTTGGGGGGGGGCCAGCCCAGCCAGCCCTCAGCCCTCTCGGCCCAGCTGCTGGGATATTTCTCACTGAAAACTTCAAAGATCAGCTGACGCACATTGCCTCGGCTTCAGCAGATGTACTGATGCACACAGGGTTCTCGCTGGGTGGCATGGCTGGGACAAAGTTACAGTCATGTTGTTGTCCCAAGTTCTTGAGCACGACTCATCAGCGTGAAAGTAGATGGCACAGACCCCAATGTCGGTGGTTTATATGGACCCCCATCTAAAGGACATCATGGGGCCTGTGCCATGGAACCTCTGAAACCACTGTACCAACCCTTTCCCCCTCTACAAGGGAGATGTTCTGCTCGGTTCAAATCATCATGGCACCAGAAGACCCACCCGGTGCTCCGTCTTTTGCTCCGTGGACTGAGAAGGGCGTCAGGTTGGTTGAACGACCATCCCCATGTGTGTGTGCCCCTGGTCTCTGCTACAATTCCAACATATTCCAGGAAACGTCTTGGAGGTTCCGGACCGTTTAGACTTGAGACGCTCCATTCACAGGTTTTGGTCCTTCAACACCTAGGGATTTGAGACCCCAGACTGGCCCCAGACCCCTCCATATGAGGGTCAGCGCGACTAGGCGGTCGGGAGCTGGCTAGCATCACCCGTCATCCGGTCATGCGTCATCCGACCCGTGATGTGTCGTGTGTCCGTGGTGCCGACCGGTGGCCGGAGTGGGATGAAGACTTCACAACCACGGGAGTGATATAGTGAAGATACAACGTTGCCGTACAAGTGCCTAGTTGTGCCTTAAGTGACTAAGTCTTTAAGTGCCTCAAGTACACTGCTTGCTTTCTTCAACTTGGTTTTGCACTCATTGCTGCTTCACAAGTCCACACCTCGTGTGTTCTGACATCTTCTGACCTCTTCGTCCCACTTCCGCCAGTGATTTCAGAGTGGATGCCATGAGACACAACAGCAAGCTGGGGCTCGAACTTGCCCGAATCACCTAAGAATCCCTCCAACTTCTCCAGCCCATCCTTTCTCCCTTTTTCCATCCCCTTCCTGACCTAGGTCCTCCCTGCAGTTCCCTCCCTTCCCCAGAGCGACACCGAAACGCCCAGCGGCGCCCTTGGGTGTCATTCACCAGATCCAGTCCACCCGGGCGGCCTGGCCGTGGCCGGGCGACCGGACGTGCCAACTGGGATGAGGTCCAACCTCCCAGAGGCCAGTGGATGATGAGGTTCAAGGCCTTGTTCTTGTTATTCCATGAGGCGCCTGTGGTTAGTGGATGATGGGAGGCCATGGGAGGCCCATGAGGTCAGTTCAAGGCCTTGTTCTTTCCATGATTTGGCTTGTTTGACCGACTCGACTCTTACAGACTTACAGGTCAGAACGGACAAACCAAAGGCGATTGGGTGGGTGTGTCCGACGCTGTGACAGATCCCGTTTGGGCTTCGGTTCGGTGGGACTGGGGTGCACTGGGTGCCTCCAGTCATACCTTCGTTTCGGCACGACTGGCCTAGGGTTTAACTTGGATCCGATCTGGATTTGATTTGGGAAGAACCATAAAGGACCCACACACGACTCGGACGCGGAGCATCCCACCACGCCAAAAAGCACCCAAGAACGACTCATGAGAACAGGATGATCGACTCATGAGGACAGGTGCACAAACAGCTACGAAAGCAAAGGCAGCCATTCGTTTGCACATCATATGACTGAGGAGATCACCCATCTTCGGAGCGGTGTGATGTAGGCAACCCAGTCAAGTCCTTTTGTTTTTCTTGAGAGCTTTGTGCAAACTCTGACGAAAGCACTGGCGTTGATGATGGGAACCTCCGGATGAAGGGAGAGACCGGTTGGTCCCGCCCAGGGCGGTTGGTCTATTCTCCGTCGAACCCAGGGAGTCTTGGCTCTCCCTATTTCAATACAAATCAATAGATAACAATTGAAGATAAACAGAGTTGTGACCAAGAAAATGGCTCTTACAAGCGTTTCTTTCTTGGATCGGATCGGTTTCTCAGGTGCAAAGGGCTCACGACGCGATGACTGGCGTGACAGTAGGCAAGCTAGCGAGGGGTGCCGGCATGCCTGCGAAAGGCCATTAAATCTGCCTACACCCGGGCGGAAAATGGACCTTTGGAAGACTACTTTCCTCTACAACCCAGTGGTTTGTCAGGCTCCATGTTAATCTTGCAGGGATATTGACATGGCATTAATATCGATGGGTTCGGCATGCTCGATAAGAGAGACGTGCCTATGTAAGCTACCACTGACGACACTGGCGACCCACAAACCAACAAAGGGTGAGATACTGGCAACATCCAGAGTCCCCTAACGAGTGTCTGGGAAAAGAGCCCCGTAGAGGTTAAGTATGGCGAAGGGGTATCCCTTGACCACCCCTGTGGGGCTCTGGAAAAGAAGCTTTGGCTCCACACAGCCGCTTCGTTCGAATGGCTTCGTCTCAGACTGCCTAGCAGCTCCACATGAAAACCATCTGCTCGCCCCAAGCGCTTCTCATTCTTGCCACCTGAGCGGCGAGCGAACGGCTGGCCCGAGCGAACGGTGGTGAGTCATGGGACGATGAGTCCGTCGAGCGGACGGGATGTTCATCTGCGCGTTTGGAGGGGATGACCCCTCTGGAAATGACTGTTCTTGGAAGGTATCTATGCTCAGCCTTTCTGGTAAGGAGACAGAAGGGGTACTGGTGATGAGTGATGAGCACAAAAAGTTGAATCAAACATCGAAACGCTTGACCCAAGAGAATCTACAGTGCGTTAAAGTTTGCCCAGCTGACGTGCTAAGGATCTTCAGACATGGACTCTTCTGCAGGCCCTGCTAGGTGTCCCAACGATCTTGCCCAATCCCACGGCATGCGTGTTACTCAATGCGCCCAGGTGACCGTTGAGGTAATTGCCGAAGGCCAAGACCTCACGTCGCGATCGCGACGCGCGAAGGGATCAAAATCGCGGATTTGGGGGATCTGAAGACGCAGCGAGTCTCGTTGAGGTCGGACGGTCTCAACGGTGTGGATCGAATGGCTGGTTTTTGGCGGGGGTTGAGTGCTGGGTGGTGCCAGAGTCCTTGTTCAATTAATACTATAGTATAGTCCTATATATATATAGTATAGGTATCTTTTTCTGGGGTCAGACAAAGGATGCCAGCATTGAGTAGAATTAGCATGTTAGCGTAAAATGCATGTTTCAATGCTTTGACAGCATTGCAATTCATCTTCGACTTTGACTCCAGACCTTCTTTCAAGACTGGTGTAAAACCAACACGTACGAATTTAGTACGAATGGCATATAGACAGAAGTTTCGTGCAAACCGCATGTGCCGAACATGTTGGCTTACAAAGTTGTGGTTTGTTTTCTCTGTTTGGTAGAGTTGGCAAACAAACCAGCATGAAGAACATACCAACTCTGCAGTACCACTGTGAGCCCCAAAACAATTTGTGGTTTCCCATCGCAGCAACCATCCCACTGCGTGCCAGCAGCTAAGCTCAGGAGAAATGGGATCTCTGAGGATTTCAAGAAGCTCAAGACCATTCGCTCGAAGCGTAGCAAGTTCTCCTCGCCGTCAACACGCACCCAAGAAGAGGTGCAAACATGTGCCTCCAGTGGCTCCAAGTTTGGTGGGGAGAATCCAACCTAAAACATCGCTTGCGCATAGCCACTGGCCACTTCGTATTCGCAGCCAGCTTTGGAAGGCTGAAGTGCTCGAAGCAAGGGATCAGAGTCCCTCAGCAATGGTTTAACAAAGACATTTGATACTTTTCACCTGCCAGGTCATTCATTCATACGTTTACGTCCCAGAAACTTTGGATGTCTGCATTCAGTTCATGGCTGCGGTTGTTGGATGGCCGAGACGATCATCCGTCTAAGAGAGCAGTGTGTCTTAGACAGTTAGAATGTCTAAGCTGCTGCCATGATAAACATATAGACATGTATAGCTCTTACTCTATATTGATCTGGACAAGAGTATAGCTCTTACTCTATTCATTTGCCATATAGTAACATCCAATCCAAATCTATATAGCTCTTACTCTACTATATCCCTCCTTGACTCTCGCCCCGCTTCTGGTCCTCGATCTGCCCAAGCCGCTCAGGAAGGTTGTACCTGGAGGAAAAGAACAGCACAAGCTGCACACACGTCGCTAAGATCCCAACTTTTGCCCTCGGAGCTGGCGCTTTTGATCGCTTTTGCGGGGAACCTTGACACCAAACATGTTTGGCAACTCACCTACCTCTCCCGAAAACTAACATGGAGAAAGAGAATGGCACCTTCAAAGACTGCTTTCCTCTACAGTACAAACCAGTGGTTCTCAGGGTCTATGTTAGTTTTCAGTGGGGTGCCTTGAGAAGCCGGTCAAGCCGAGTGGAAAAACAATGGCACCAAAAGTTGGCAAACATCACTGAGGTACAGAATCCTCTTGGGAAACTCCACTGTTTCGACTCTTTGATCCTTTCGATTTCGCCTGGTGGACCCACCACAGCAATCCGTGTAAACAGGAGTACCATGGAGTGGGCACTCATATCTCTCATCTGGAATCCAAGGGGCAGGAACTCCCAAGAGCTCAAGCGGATGGAGCAGGCCTTGATCTGCAGCAGCTCCTCACGGCTCAACGATGCTCAACGGCTCAGGTTCCAGCTGAAGTTGGACAAGAGGAACCAATTATATAAATGGATCCAAACGTGAGGTGCTTTGTTAAAGTGATTCAGGGATTCATTAAATTGCAATGATTCTCCCAACACCACTGTTGGAGCAGCAGATTGCGAATATTCAAGTAATCAGTGAATTGGCACCACCATGGTTGTTTGGAGCAACTTCCTTCTCGGGCTTTGGGCATCTGAGCCAACAGAACCTCTAAAAGGCGCTATGCGACTTTTTGATCCTTTCCAAACCCAACCCCCTTCACAAAGCTTGCAGATGCTTGCAGCAAAACTTTCAGAGGGCTTGGCATGGTGCTTTGATGTTCTGGTATCCCAAAAGACGTGGCTTCGGACCAAGCCCATCTCCTCCATGTAGTGCTCCACGGGGTCCCAAAGCAAAGGCTCTGACCTGATCCAAAGCAAACCATCAAAGTGGAAAATTGGTTTAGAGCTGAGTGGTGGGAAGAAAAAGCACTACATCACTCCATCTTCACTGGCCCATCATCCATCTGTCTGAATCGAGGCTACCCTCATAGCTAAAGAACCATGCCAGCTCCTGGCACAGGTGTGAGAAGGATGGGCAAGTCACCGAAGAATCGATGAGAAGACGGGCACCGATCGGAGCCAGGCTCGCACAGTGCGCTGACTCCCTCAGTTTGGGACATAGAACAGGTCGGCCTTCTGAACCGCCTTCTGAATCATAGTCTCTAGTGGAGAAAACCCAATCCCTAAAAGAAGTCTTGCAGGGATGATGATGGCACCGGAGAAACTGCAGGGCCTAGCCATGGCCTAGTTCAGCCCCCTGGGGAACGGAAGTCGCTCCTGCCCCCCCCCCCGCGGCCCCCGCGGCTCGCTTCCCGCGGCGAACCGCTGCCGCGTCACTCGTTCTCGGCTGTGGCTCGCTTGGCACGCAGCTCCGCTTCCTCGCGGTCCAAGCAGAGACGAAGAAACGTCCAAGCTGGTGGATGGATGTATTCAACGCCATCACCGAGTCCAGAAGCAAGAATATGGTCTCAAGTAGGACGTACGTGTGGCCACATGAGTGACACACCACGCAGTTCAGTTCTGAGTTCCATTCATACATGTTTGCAATGATACTGTTACTGGGTGCAGGAGAAAATATGGTCTACAAAACAACTTCGAATTTACCCAGCTCAAATTCATCCCATCACACAGTTCGAATCATCCTGGAGAGGCTACTGATGACCCCAAAATCCAAAGATTCACAGCAAGCGCTGCCCTGGGGCCCTCGCCTGCTCGGCGTTGGGGCAAAGGAAGCGCCGTATAGAGCTCAAAGTCTCCACCGAGAAGGCGCTCCGGTCCAGGTCCTCCACGGACGGGGGCGGTGAAGGACGACTCCGTGGCGACAGACGAGGTGGGCCAGACTGGTCTGGCCACGAAGACGACGCGATGGCCGCGGCGGTGGCGACGCGTGGTTTTTCTTTTTTTGTTGCCGGTTCAAGGGACTTGTGAGGCTGGGTAGATGTGTGGCGGGGGTTGGGTGAAATGGACGGAGGATGGAAGCAAATCCAGTGTGGAGTGTTGAATATACAGTTGAAGGGGGAAGAAGAATGTCCGACTCGTCCATTTCACCTGTCTCTTATCATGACACACTCCTATGGGGAAGGAGGCACTCTCCTTTAACACCTACAGTAGTTGTATGGAATAATCATAAAAGAGTAATAAAGAGTATGGCTTCCAAACTCCTATAGACCACCCTAGTGACTATTCACTTGAGAGAGGAGGGGGTGAACGAAAGGTAGCAGGCAATCACAAGTAACCCTGGTAGAAGTCCACGACGGCGTGAACCGGCGCAGGGGGGATTTGATCCAGGGGGGGGGGCCCCGTGGGGGGCCCCCCCCCCCGACGAACAGAATCAACTCTTACAGGACCAAATTCAATGCACAATCCCAACTCCTGATTGTAATACATTTTTGCTAAAGCAAGGAGAACTCAGGTAGCTCAAGCTACCTTTCGTGATAAAGAGTATTGGTCCCTCCCCTTAAATCATCCTTGACTGTTCACATCATTCATTCCCAGGTTTTCCTAGCTTTCAATGAGATGTGAAAAAACCAAGGAATTTTCAAGAATGTGTTTTTTAGGTGGATGAGTTGAAGCGGCCCCCATTTGAAGCAGCCCCCATTTGAAGCATTGTAAGATAGTCTAGTCTATGTGTCACCTCTCCGTCTGGACACCATCCGAGCAGCCTGGATGGCTTTCGCTGCTTTGGTGCCCGTGTTGAGGCTCACTGGCAAAGTACCTTGGCGAGAAACGGGTACCTGACCCCCAATTGCGGGCGGGAGAAGATGGCCGGGCACTCACGGAGCCGGAGACTCTGATTTCAGAAAGGTGAACCGAACTGTCCACCTGCTGGATCTGAGCGGGGAAACCAATGAAACCCAAAAGATTTTGAGGACGGGTTTGAGTTTCACTCACTGGGCTCGCGAGAATATGGGAGAATTCTTCACGGAAGAAGCGGGTCCCATGACACCCAAAGTGGGTGGCCTTTCAGCACACCCTCCTCTGGAAGAACGAGCCCAAAAAAGGTCTACCCGGGAGTGTTCACCCATGATGTGGGTGTATATTGTTGACCTTTTTGGTGACGACGCCTAACTAGTCGGGTCACTCTGGTCGTGAGGCTTGCCCTTTGCCTGTTGGTATTCTAGGCGTAAGAGGCATGGAAGGCTACCACACCACCACTGTTCTGTCTTGATCCTTTTTGGACGCCACGTGCACTTGGTGAACAACAAACGTATCTGCATTACGTATTTGCAGACTAATTGATGATGTTCGAACCCCAAAGGGAGAGCTTTGATTGATCCACAGCCCCCAACAAACCGTTCTCTCTGACGTTGGTCACCCTTGGTCCTACCTGAGTTGAACCGATCGAACATGTGCCCATTGTGACCGATGGAAAGCCAATCCGATCGGATCCGAGCGCAATCGGACCAACCTGCGCGCCGATGTCCGTGACCTAGGCCTGCCAAACCGGCGAATCCGTGAAGGACCCCGTGTGCCGCATGGCGGAGCAGTGCCAATGCCAGCCTCGCTGCGCAAGCACACTTCGATCTGGAAGCGCTGCTCTTGGGCAATGCTTGAGAGCTTCACCGTCCTGGGATCGCGGGGGCGAAAGACATAGCCTCTTCCTGAAAGCCAGCCGGGCCAGGCGAAAGACATATTCTAGCCATATAGGGGTATCATAAAAACGCAAATATCATCAAATATCACACCACCAGCTATTTCAATCAAGTTTCGTTCGCTTCTTGACTTCTTGTTTTGGAGCTTTCTGCACCTTCTGCTGACCTTAGATGCGGGTCATCTGCGCACTGCAAACGTGTTCATCTTCATACTGTTTTGGGGATAACAACTGCTGCTGCATACTGCTGTATGCTTCAGAAGGGACTGTTAACAATTCCTTCCAAACATGTAACATGCACTCATTTGTTCACTTCATCTTTAGCACATTCCCTTGGTTCCCTTCATCTTCGGAGGATCCAAGGACTGAGATCCTGGCTGCCGGCTTTGCCGAACCTCTTCTCAATCTCATCCATGGGCAAAGCTTCCATGATGTGATCTTCTTGGTACACCTGGTTCACCTGCACATCTGAACACCAAGAGCCGCTCGTTCTTCCAAAAAAGACATGAAAACGAACCATGATGGACCATGGGTCTGGTCAACACAGTGCGACTCGAGTCGGAGAATCGGCCGAGCCCAGAATCATTCACCCGCTTCAACCCGAACCCTCGGGCCGGGTTCGGGGCCGGCGGGTTGGTCGGACCCACGGTCAGCGCGCCTGGTGCCAAATGGTGTTGCCCTCCTCAATCTCGGCTCCCACTAAATACCGGGTCCATGGGACAGTCTTCAGCTCCTCCGACCGTTCCGACCGAGTCTGATCGGATCCCGCTGCACTTCTGCCATTGGCCAAGCCAGTAGCCTAGTCAAAGCAATCCAAGAAGATCGGCTGGTTGGACTTGGTTGGTCATGGCTGCTTTGGACTTGGGAGGGTTGCATGGCTGGGAATATCTCTTCCAAGCCCCAGGGACTGGCCCTGGCTCATCTCAGCTGAAAAACATCCATTCATAGGTTCATATGGCATGGCATATGGGGCCAGAACTCAATGGCTTGGGGCACCTACTGAACTCCAAACATCACGTCACATCATGTCACATCCATCTGTTGCTAAAAAAATCCTGGACTGTCTGTCTGACAGGTGCCGATGGGCGGACCCGTGTGGTGTGCTGAACCCGTGTGGTGTAGGGGATCGATTCTGTAGCGAACTGTCTAAAGGTCATGTGACTGAGACTTCGCTGCTTCGCTGCCCTGGCTGGGAGTGTACATCTTTTCGCCGTCGAGAGAGTCTAGAGCATGAGAAGCATGATATCTTCCTGACAAATCCGCAAGGTGTGCATGCTTCACCTTCCAAATCCTTCCAGGATGTCTATGGTTCAGGGTTTTCTTGCAAAGTGCACATGTAGAGTCATATCGATTCCAAACTCTGAGTTCTACACCACACGCCCAGCGACCACACGCTCCAACTGGCGACCCCGGTGGTCCTGATGTGGCTTGACCTCTGGCTTCGTGGGCTCGGCCTGTGCGACCTCGGCATCGCCGGGCACGAGTCCTTTATGGGCTCCACCGCCAGTCATATATGACTCTTTCGAATGTCACCGGAAAGGCTGTATAATTCCCAGACACTCCATGTACGGCATATTTAATCATATTTACATACATTGGGGTGGTTTTAGGGGTCAATGTAGGTAAATATGCCATACATGGAGTGTCTGGGATTTCATCCAGCGTCCCTTCTTGCAAAACCTTTCGAGTGCTTGTCGCTTCTGTGAACTGAGAAACGTACGAAACACTTGGATTGGTATCATGGACCTACCTTGCATGTGCCTTTTAGCTTCAAATGACCACGATCAACGACGATCAACAAACCCTCCCCAGCAAAGCAACAGATTCGCCTGCCCATCCTCTCGTTGTCATCCAAGTACAAACAAAGGCAAGCGGGGAGGTCTGATGAGGTGTCTGAGTCTTGGTCTGGAAATTCACACCCCAAATCGACCTCAAATCGACCCCAAATTGGCCAGTTTGGATCCATTTCGGCCGTCCCAAGACGCCACCCACTTCGGCCACCCAGGCCTTCCCCTTGCCTTTGGCCTTTCCCTTGCCGTCGCCCTCACCTCGGCTCCACGCGGAAAGCTCGCTTGCTCCACCGGGCGGCCATGCGGTCGAGGCCCGGCGGAGCCATGAGGGTGGATGGTTCACCAATGTGACCATGAGACAGTAACTGATAGAAATAGCCAGAACAAAAGCCAAGTAACGTGTCATCCGAAGGGAGCGGTCTGTTGTCTACCTGCTATTATATGGTGTTCATCCTGTTTCCATGTGTTTTCAATGCTCAGCAAGTTGAATCCCTCCCCTCAACCTGCCCAGCTCCGCCCAGCCTGGCACCACGCTTGGAGCTGCAGGAATGGCTTTACCTTTGCCTTTCCCCTTGCCCTTTGGTGGCACCACTGGCTTTGGCGTCGGAGATTCTCCTGTTGCAGCAAGGTCGTCTCGAGTGAATTCAAGCTTGCTGGGTGGGGTGTAAACAACAGCTCCAACCGGTATGGAAAATAAATCCAAAGCCATACATTCCGAGTCGCTAACATGGAAGTGGAAAGCCCCCCGCTTGTAAAGGAAAGTAGTCTTCCAAGGGACCATTGTCCCCTTCCATGTGAGTGTATCAGGTCTAGTTACAAAGCCCAGCCACAAATCGCACGATGTGTCGAATGTGCACGTCGTTTTAACATCCCATGAATCGCAGGAGTCCAACATCCAATTTACACCACACAGAGGCTTGAAGCCAGGCGTTGAACCCATGACTCTGTATCCAGCCTCCCGAGTTGGCAAAATACTATTGAGCCATGGAAGAACTTCGCAAATGAGTTCAACCGTTTTAAATCTTGCAACCTTCGCGGAGAATCAGAAGTTCGCTGTGATTTCAGATGGTGTCAACCTCTTGAGGTGGTTTATACCAACCCCCCAATGCAAGGGCCGTGCTCCGGGTTACACTACTTTGAAACCAGCAGGGTTCTGGGACGTGGAATCCACTTTCGAGCACCTGATGCATGGTGTCTGATGGTCTTTGAATGTCGAGCAGTCTGACACCGCTGGGCTGTTGCCGCGTGGCATGCATATTGACTAGAAAAGGGCTACTGTAGGTGTTTCCTGATGTATTCCACATCATGGCTTCACTAACCACCTATGATTTAAAGCCTTTAACAAAAACAGAAGGAAAACTAACCATGAGCGCTTTCAAGACTTCACACGTGTCAGTCCTCCGTCTCTTGCAATGGCCTTGCTTGCTGGAACATCAGCATCGGTAGGCGGCTCCCTTTCTGCCTGACATGTCTACAGCCCCCCCAATAGGGAACAGCGCACTTCAGAGCCTTAGAGGGGTAGAAGGTGCTTTCTTCGGGGAAACATACCGATGTTGGCTGAATTCCGTCGCGTCCGATGTTGGTCCAACATACGTATTTGTCTTCGGTTCCTCCGCCTGAGCTGACCATCTGACACCTCACCGCTGAAAACAAGATGTGCAGAAGCAAATTATTAAGATTTGATAAAAGACTGAGCCATGGAAAGCAGGACCTCTGCCATTCCTAACCAGGACTCAGTAAAAGAAGAACAAAGACATAGCATGAATTAATAAGTGTAAACAGCGGCACCCGAGATCCTACGAAAGAACGAAGGAAGCGGAATGCGCACACTGCTTTGTGCCGTTGGAGCCAAATGCTCAAGGCCTGTCCGGCCGCAGTGAAACACATCCAAAGGCCATGGGTGCATTTCCACACGCCCTCTATTCTATGTGGCCTTTGGATCCGCACAAGTGAAAAAGGATACCAGCCTTCGGCATCGACTTTCCATCTTCGCCTGGAGGTTTGCCATCTTCTTCAGGTCGGCTCTCTCCTCAAGGATCCTCCACTCGTGCTTGCCATCAGTCCTCTGGTAGCAGGCCACCGAAGTTCGAAGTCCAAACTTGTTGACATCAAATCTCGGAGCTGGGCTTCTGAAACTCATCGCTCCATGGGCCACGTGGATGGGAGTTCCATCTCTAAAGTGCCACCCATTCTTCTCTGCCACCAAGAGGACGTGCTCCATCAAGGACTTGTCTCTGTCCTGAACTGCCCGTCCGGGCATCTCAACAACAGCCACCGCTGTCTTCGCAGCCTTCTTGGTCTGTTTGGTGAAACTCTCGTTGTACTCGATTGACCACTCTCCCTTCTGCAAGGTCTCTCGCAGCGCTGAGTTGTCCATCAGCTTCGTGCCAGCATCCACAAAGAGAATTGCGGTGCTTGTCCACCTGTAGCCAGTACATGGCCGTCGTAGTTGTTGACGAAGAGCTGCAAGGCTGAAAGCAAGGCTTTTCTGCGAGCCAAACCCAGTGTCTTGTGTAAGACGATCATAGGTATCTTTCGCATCGGTGACTCCGATGAGGCTCACAGCGCAGACATTGAAATGTCCTGTTCGACATGCGATGTCGATTTTGCGCAGCTCGGCTATGAAGCCGCGACACAGTTCTCCTGCGTCTAGACCTTCTTCAGCGCCAAGCGTTTCTGCCGCGTAGGAACTGCGACACACTCTCTGAAGTCGGTGACTCCTGAAGTCGAGCAGGTTGAAGCTGCCAGGCTTTCCCAACATCATCTGCTCGTCTGCCAGCAACACTGCGTAGCATGACTGGGAGTGCACCTTCTCGGTCGGCATGGCGTCCGTGCAACCATTGGCGGTCACATTGCCGAGTGCGGCATCGGTCACAACCATGATGCCACCATGGGTGTAGCTGACCGGCTTGAACTGCAAGGTGAAGTCCTTGGTCCTTTTGGCCTCCTCGACCACCTTGTTCACTCGAAGCACTGTGCCAACTGTCGGTCGCTCTGACTGAAGACTGCTTACAGAGAAAGAGAGGTCGAATCTCAGCTGTGCAACAAGCCACTGCAAGGCTCCTAAAACACCTTTGAGCTTCCTCACTTCTGCGGCATTCAGCAAGCTTGCCACATCTTTGCGCCTTTGTCGAGGCATCTGCATTCCAGTGAGGTTCTCGTGGTACCTTACCATGGTCAAAGTGACTCTTCCGTCAGGTTCACGAGTGAAGGTTTTGCCACACCAACTGAATGGCGGAGCGTCCATGGATCCAAAACCGATCCTTTCTCCCAACCGGCTCAGCGAAGCTTCAGCCTCCTTGTCGCCACTCATGAGCAGGTCGTCGACATGAGCTGCCAAGATGCCTGTCAAAGCACCTGTTGTGTCAAACCTCAGCCACAATGCTAAGTCCAAGCTCGAGCGAACCCAGCCATCCTCACCAAGCTCTCGAGCCAGCCTCAAGTACCACTCTCTTGGGGCATCAGCTAGGCCAAAAATGCCTTTGAGAACTTTGGCAACGCAACCAGTCGGAATCCCAATCGTCGGACCTGTCTTGGGGTTGGTCCCACGGATGTACAGCTGTCTCTGCAGGTAGGGATCTCCTTTGAGGAAAGCTGCTCTGACATCAGCGCTCAACAAACACCAGTCAGGGTTCGAGGCACAAACACAACACACCACATGCTGTGCTATCCTTGAAGCTGTCGGTGAGTCAGTTCGAAGTTCACCATTCAGGTTGGCAAGATCACGAAATCCTGGCACGATGATTCGTGCATTGGCCTTCAAAGGAAGCGGGCACTCTGGAGAGCGAAGCTTGGAGTTCTTGTCCACCAAGATGAAGCGGGGGTTCATGATCCGCTCAAGTTCACCTTTCATCTCCAGCTCCTGTTCCACTGCTCGGGACTCCTCAGGGCTCAAGACAGTCACAGCCTCATTCTCCAGCCACTTGTTCCACTGGTCAGCCGCTGCAACGCGGAAGGCCTGTCTTGTGTCTTCGTCCATCTCTGACCATCTGAGTTCATGTCCGTGAGCAGCAGTAGTCAAAGCCTCCTTAGTGTCACTGTTGGAACCACTAGGCCATGTCATCTGAAGCTTCTTGACGATCTCAACCTGTCGTGCGGTCGGGCGAGACCATCTTCCATCCCAGCTGCCGTGATCATCTTCTCCATGATGGCCGTTCTCTATGTCCTCCTGGGCTTTGTTGACTGCCTCAAGAAGTGGATGTCTCAGCTCAGCTGAGAGGACATCGATCGCTTTGCCACCAAGTCGAAGAGGTTCCATGATCCTCCTCCGAACGGCCTGTCTGTCGTCCGTTGGCTCTGACAGTGCTCTTCTCACAGCACCTTGCGCTTGCTCCAGCCGCCGTCCATATTCCGCAGGCGTCTCTCCTGCAGGGACTCCAGGTTGTAGTTCAGCTGCAGCTGCACCACCATCCGCGACTGGAAGAACTTGTGCATGAGGAAGTCCATCATCTGCTGCCTGTTGAGGTAGAAGAGGTTGTAGGTCATCACCAGCTGCTCCTTGGTCGGAAGTCGGATCTCCTCCAAGAAGTCCAGGTCGTTGACCATCAGGCTCTGGTGAAGCGTCCTCACCAACCGTAGGTAAAGGTCCACCAGCCTGTTCTGTTGACTGTCTCCTTGATGCCAATCTCGAAGGAAGCGATGAAAAGCTCGAACAAGGGGCACTTTGCACCAAAGCAGGCATCATCGCTGGGTAAGGGAAAGGATAAACCACTGCAGGCGTTGGTGTCTGCTCAAGAAGCTCAGGCTGAACTTCTGGAGGCTCCTCCGGCGGCTCTGTTGGCTCATAGCTCTCCTCACCAATTCCAAGTCCTTCTTGTTGGTCATCAGGGCGTTTGTCATCCACAGCGTTGATGACATCCTCAACTATTGCGTCCCAATCTGTGGCAACGAGTCTTTCCAAAGCACTTGCATGACGAAGGTGTTCCATAGCAACCTTGGTCACATTGCCACAGTAGGCAACATACCCAGCATTGGGCATCTCCTTGCCTTCCAAAGACAAAAGAACTCCAGGACCGTGCCACTTCTTCAACTCCAGCCGTCTTCTCTGCACGATCTTCATCTTCTTGCTTGTGGGCTTCTGCTCGCGGTAGAAGTAGACCACGTCTCCAACAGAAAACTGGTTCCAATCCACCTGGTTGCGAGCACGTGCAACTGAAGCGCTCATCAAAGCTCGGCTGTAGTGAAGTCGTACCATGGCCAGCTTAGCCACTTCTCTCATCGCCACCAAACGTGAAAACGAGGGGGTCTCCAAGGCCATGCTGTGAGCAGCAAGTCGGGTTCGAAGGTCAGAAGGACCAGCTTCTCCAACAAGTCGAGGTTGTCGTCCAAGAACCATCTGACTCGGAGAGAACCCTGTGCCATCCACGTCATTGTTGACGGCCTCCAGAGCTGAAGCCAGGGCGGTCCGCATGTCATCCATGCCAGCTGCCACCGCCTCATGGATTGTGGCGCGGAGAACTGCCTTCAGTGAGCCTCCGGCTCTCTCTGCTATGCCGTTTTGCCATGGCGCGCCCACCGGCACATGGTGCAAAACCACGTCGTGCATGTCCATGGTGTGCTGAACCACTGCCGCCGTAAACTCTCTGCCAAGATCAGTGGTGATCTGTGAGGGGATGCCGAGGGTATTGAACCAACACTCCTGGAAGAACTTGATGACTTCCAGCCCGCTCTTCTCTTCCAGCACCTTGGCAACTTGGTACCTGGAAGCGGCATCAACGGCATGAGCAATCCAGTATGTCTCACCATGGCTGTCATGGACGGAGATCAGGTCGGCATAGAGGTGGTCGTTGAAGTTCCTGACTCGAGGCAAGCTAGCTGGCCTTCTGGTTCCAGGCCGCTTGGTCTCATGACAGATCTCGCACTTATGCTCCTTTGCAGCCTTGATCAACATCGGATCTGCCCCTGTGATCAGCAAAGCTCGAGCCAGGCGAAGTGGTGGTCGATGGCCTGTCACCTCATGAAGATGCTTTGCCATCTTGCGATCACCTGCTGTGGGCTTGTCATCACCAGACACCACCACATCGTCATCCTCATCTTCCTGCTCGGCCGGGTTGTCCAGCATGAAGTGGTCCCCATTGCCATCATGGTCGTCTCCATCATGGCCATCCGGTTCATCTGAAGGTCCGGGGGGTCCTCCATCATCTTCACCACCATCATCTCCACCGCCTGGGTTCTCGTCGTCCAACTCCTCAATGACATTGATCTCAAGCATTGACCATTCTCGCTCGATGCCTTCAAGCAGAGTTTCAGCGAGAAGGGGTGGATAGTGACCTGCAAGGCGTGTCACCTTGTTGCCACCAATCACTGCTTCATGGTGATGTCGTCGGTCGCACCTGAACCCATCCAAAGCTGCTGCAACCTCCTTCGAAGACGTGAGGAAGGTGGTCGGCTTGTAGTGAAGTCCTCCTCCAGCTCCTCGCAACCCGAAAGCACATTGGTCGACTCGGACGTGGTAGAGGTCCA